GACTTGGCAGAAGAGAATTTTCATTCTTTTTTTGTAATTTTGTTTAATCATAACGACAATACAATTTTAATATTTACATACTTTGGTGCTAATTTTTTTTTTTTTTACGGATTATTTAAGATTTCACAGGTCCAGTCCCTGTCTGTGTGACAGGCGCTGGACCGAGCTGCTGAACTGACTTGTTCAGTACGTGTCCGTGTGTCATCCCTTTGCAAGTGGTGATAGGACCGAATGATCTCAGTCTGGCCTGGGATACCATCACGAAAACAGTGGAGTGTATTGTCTCTAAACCATATATTGTGTTTGAGCTTGACTCAAGCATAATATACTCCGTAATTGGTGTTACTTATTTTGTTTCATAATTCATGTGGTCGCTGCTTTACGTGGGTGAAATATTTGTACACTTCCTTTATTAATCATTTCCTTATTTATGGGTGCCATTGTTGTTCATACTAATCCTTTACTTATATAATCCTACCATTTTTAGTGCTACATTGGTATGACTCACTATTCTTCTCATTCTTCCAAGTTGGGCAGTACTTGTCAAAGGAGGCGTGTTCTTGCTTACAGGAAGTACACTTCAGCTTGCTAGCTTAAGTATGAATGTTTACCTGTGTGCATGTTTGTGTATGACTGTATGTGTGCTTTATGTGTGAGTGCATGGGCGTGTTATGTATGAATGCGTGTGTGTGTTTGCCATTCTACCTCTTGTCCTATTTATCTGTCCTTCTTTATCATTCTTTAGTCTTTATCACTTGTCTGTTTGTCTGTTCTGGGAGAAAAATGAAGGAGGCCACGAGGATGTTAGAAATTCCTCAAGGGAGGAATGGAGTGAAAAAGGTTGAGAACCACTGACCTAGACTCACGTGAGTTACCTGTCGAATACCAAATTGCAGGTTACAAATTATTCCTTACCGATAGGCAGATTAGGAAAGGAGGCGGAGTAGCAATCTATGTCAGGGATAATCTGAAGTGTGAAACAAATAAGGAAATAAAAACTGAGCGGAATACACAAACAATTTGGATAGAATTAATCGACGGTAGGGAAAAATTAATCACAGGAGTAATATATAGACCTCCCAAACTTGATAGAGTTAATGAGCCACATATCTGGGATGAAATGCGCAGGGCTTCCATACACAACAAAGTCTGTATAGTAGGCGACTTTAACTTTGGCCAAATAAATTGGATTGACCTTACGGGTAACTCAGAATCAGAGGATTTTCTTGAAACAATCCAGGACTGTTTCCTAAGTCAACATATAACCGAACCCACCCGGGGTAATAATATGCTCGATTTAGTTCTGTTGAACAGAGAAAACCTCATTAGTCATGTCGAGGTAGGGAACGCACTTGCAAACAGAGATCACAAAGAAATTAGATTCCAGTTAGATTTTCAGGGCAGCCGTAAAGAAAATTCCACAAAAGTCCCAGATTTCAGAAGGGCAAACTTTGATAGTTTGAAGAGGCAGTTGAGAGAAGGGGTATCACGCTTGGGGGTGAACTACTTGGACCTGACGATTGAAACCGGCCTGATAACAAGATCTGAGGTTGCCGAGTACCACGACAATTTAAATAATGAGTTACTTAATGCACAAAGGCAGAACATACCATACAAAAAACTCAGATCAAACAACAATGACCCTAAATGGATAAATAAATATTTGAAGAACATTATTGGTCAAAGGAAGGCTATAGGTAGGAGGATAAATCGTAGCGAAATTTACCTCCGGGATTATTATAAGGTATTGGCCGGTAGGGTTAAGACCGAGATAAGGAAAGCAAAGAGGAATAATGAGCTGAGGATAGCAAGGGAGGCGAAGACAAACCCCAAGGGATTCTATCATATGTATCAAACTAAAACACGAGAAAAGATTGGGTCAATACAGTCAGATACCGGCGAGCTAACTGATAACGACGGAGAAATGAGCAATAATCTGAATAAATATTTTACAACAGTTTTCACCACGGAAAATTTAAACATGATAACCGAGGCACCGATTCTATTCAGAGATAGTGAAGAAAACAAATTAAGCGAGATAGTAGTGACTAGTAACGATGTTAGTAAGCAAATAGACAAACTAAAGCCTAATAAGTCGCCTGGTCCCGATGAGATATTTGCCAGAGTATTAAAGGAGTGTAAGGAAGAGCTTAGTATGCCCTTAGCAAAGTTGTTTAACATGTCCTTAAAAACAGGTATAGTACCAGAATCCTGGTGGATAGCGAATGTAATACCGATTTTCAAGAAGGGGGATAGATCACTATCCTCTAACTACGGCCCAATCAGTCTAACGTCAAATGTAGGCAAATTACTGGAAGCAATCATTTCAAACTCTATTCGAAACCACTTGGAGAAGCACAAATTGATCAGTGATTCCCAGCATGGCTTCACAAGCGGGCATTCATGTCTAACTAATATATTAACATTCTTTTCATCAGTTTTCGAATCGGTGGACGAGGGGCGTTGTGGTATATCTCGACTTAGCAAAGCCTTCGACAGAGTCCCCCACAAAAGACTAATAAGAAAGGTAGAAGCACATGGCATTAAAGGTAATATTCTAAAATGGATTAGGGCATGGTTACAGGACAGGAAACAGCGAGTGAGCATTAACGGCACTAAATCCCATTGGAGCAACGTCACTTGTGGAGTTCCCCAAGGCTCAGTACTTGGACCATTATTATTTATTATATACATAAACGACATAAATATCGGCATAGACAGCAACATAAGTAAATTTGCTGATGACACTAAAATAGGACGTGTAATTAAATCTGACGAGGACTCCACAAAACTACAGGAAGATCTAAACAAATTTTTCGAATGGTCTGAAAAATGGCAGATAAAATTCAATGTGGGCAAATGTAAAGTACTCAGTATAGGAGACGTAAACAGGGAAACCAGTTACCAGATGAACAACGATGCCATTGAGAAATCCGACTGCAAGAGAGATTTAGGAGTAATGATAAGTAGGAATCTTAAGCCAAGTAAACAATGTGTTTTTGCTCGTAACAAGGCTAATAAAGTACTTGGGTTCATACAAAGGAGTGTTAGTTACAAGACTAGCGAGGTCATCTTAAGATTATATCTTGCGCTTGTGAGACCTCACCTGGATTACGCAGTGCAGTTCTGGTCACCGTATTACAGAATGGATATAGAATCCTTGGAAAGAATCCAGAGGAGAATGACAAGACTAATCCCGGGCATTAGGAACCTTGAGTACAGAGACAGGTTAAAGCATCTTAATTTGCCCTCCCTCGAGAGACGTAGAGCAAGGGGCGACATGATAGAGGTGTATAAATGGAAGTTAGGGCTAAACAAAGGGGACATTACAAAGGTACTCAAACTATCCAACCAGGAGCGAACTCGTAACAATGGTTTTAAATTAGACAAATTTAGATTTAGGCGCGAAATTGGTAAACACTGGTTTGAAAACAGAGTAGTGGATGAATGGAACAAGTTACCAAATACCATCATTAACTCGAATACGCTGGATAGCTTCAAACATAGGTTGGATGCTTATATGAGCAATAGGGTTTGAGTGTAAATGGGACTGCCCAGTATGGGCCAATAGGCCCGCTGCAGTTTCCTCCATTCTTATGTTCTTATGTTCTTAAAACATGGGTATAGACACGAAACTCATATGGATCAGTCAAGTAGAAGTTATTTTAGGGCCAAAAACTTTCGTAGAGGCTCGATCAGCAGCCATGTTTTGTACAAATCCAATATGGCGAACACCTAGACTTGGTAGCTCTGGGCACTCCTTCTGGAAATAATCAGTGGGACCCATGTGAACTGTGAAAAAAAATGCACTTTTGTCCGTCGTATAAATATTCAGGCCTATTTTGACCAACTCGCCCCCCACTATAGGTGTCATGGATCGTAGTTCAAACGTGGTACTCCTATTCACACAGTACTTCACAACACACACGGTACTTCATCACATACAATATTCCAACACTCAGTACACCAACACACATGGCACTCCTACACATACAGTAAGTAGTCCAGCATATAAAGTACTCCAGCACCCAATAATCCAACACACACAGTATTTCAAAACACGCCATATTTCAACACAAGCGGAACTCCAGCTCACAGTACCTAGTGTGTATAAAGTGTTGTGTTGGTCTGTTTTCCCAGTATTGTATAGTCATGTACTCTATGTCAGTATGTGCGTAAAACAACTTATGTTTAAGTTAACTTTTATAAGGAATCTATGATAATAAAACTGTGTGTGTGTGTGTGTGTGTGTGTGTGTGTGCCGTAGCTCCAAGACAAGACCATTAAACCTAGAGACCTGAAACTTTCCATACATACTAAGCGGAACCTGGGACTGGGAGGCTGGGAATGTGCACATTCGTTTTGCTGAGAGTTGGTTAAAAAAATGTGAGGGAATAATGTCGGAAGCCACACAGTACGATAATATTTCCCTCGCCGTCACCATCCCCCTGCCGGCCAGACTGGAGAAGACCTTATCTAAAGGCGATAATGTAGAACTATAGATTATAATGCAATTAATTGATGTAATGTAGATGGTTAGTGTAGATGATTGTGTAGATGATTGTGTAGATGATTGTGTAGATGATGTAGTGTACTTGATAGTGGAGTTGATTTAGTGTTGATGATATTATTGATGATAATATAGTCACAGAGGTAGATTATGATCTGCGCCTTAAAAAAAAAAAATAATCCGGCCACGCAGGGTGTAACTCAAAGTATAGCCCCCAAAATCCCCAAGATGATATCGTAGAAAAAATACTGCAATTTATTTAGCAAGATTTTCCAGTAAATAGTATAAGTCAATTAGGGTAGCCATATGCAAAGGGCAGAGAGTATTTGACACATTTGAAAATCGCGCAAATTATCTAAGTCCTTCCACCGATCATGCTCAGGGAACCTTATATAAATATTTCACATGATGAATCCCAAGGGAAAGGGGAAGATGGGAAATAAAGGAGGAAACGTGGGAAAGGCTGGAAAGTGGAAGAACACGACGAAAGTGAAAGCGGGGTTGAGAGGAGTGAAATGGGGGTGATGGTGGCACACCCCCTTCCCACCACCCCCTGGCCTGGATCAGCTCTTAGGCAGCGGGTGCGTCGTCTCTCGCCAGTCACACAGAGAAGCTCGTCGAGACAAGTCGTGGATCCTACTGCTCTACTAGCCAGGTACCGGCGAGAGAAATCTGGACTCTGGAATGCTTCCGGGATTCTTTTGCGACCCGACCCGGAGACTCTGCCACCCGTCTTTCATTGCTCGCCCTCAATACCCCGAAGTCAAGCCTGACTCATGTTAGGGGTTACTGCTGTTGTTCTTAACTACGATTTGCAAATATTTTATGTTGCTAAAACCATGCATTAACTTTTTTTGCAAAAACAATGACGACTTCTGAAAGTATTTCGAAAGTGGCACAAGTGGGCGAGAAAGTGGCGGTGTGAGCAGATTCCCGGAGAAGGTCCCGTTGTTGTCATGCAAGTACGACTGAATCCACCTTAACAAATGATTTAATAGAGGGTCTAGATTTATTACAGTATATCAGGAAAGGTAAGCATAATATGATGTACTTAATCTCATTGGCATTCTACCAGATTAGAGTAGCAATAGATTTATTGTAGTTTTAAAACGAGTGACGTTTAAGGCGTTGATAGATGATATCGTGATGTACTTGTGATAAAGTTGATGAGTACGAGTTAAGTAGAATCAACATGATAGATATTTACCGTGATATTACAGGTAAAACAGATATTACAATGTGGACGAGCTAATTCAACACTGATGTATAGGACAACGACAAAGACTTTATAATGATATAGAGGGACGCACTGTTACTTACACAGTGAGAGATACGGTGACAAAACGGAACTAAGCAGACAATGGAGGAGATTTTTACTAATGTAAGTGGAACGATGGGGTGAGGATTTCGGGCTAACCTGAAATAATTGGTTATTGTGATGTATAATTAGGTCATCACAATACTGGCGGTACATCAAAATACACACTGGCACAGTAATGTTACTAGTTGATTTGTTTCGCAATATTACCATTTTAAGCAGCAGCAGTGCCGTGAATTAAGTGAATAATTAGATTGAATCTTAGAGCAATAGTTAGGATGACTCAAGTTAGTTACCTAGATGTTCAGTTTAATTTTGACGGAGATGGTGAAACAAGTTTATTGATGTTCATAATGCGATCGTAAAGTGTGTTGAGCATAATGCATTTATTCTTGTCTATGTGAAAAAATATCAGTCGCAATATAATTCAAGCAATGTATCGCTAAATATACCTTACACGGGGAATTATTTCCTCATGGGACCAGCTGCCTTCAGAGAGCTCTCGAGGGTTGAGGTAGGGGAGCATTGTGGCCAGGGAAAGCTGTCTAGAGGCCGACCAGCTCAACCAGCATCTAGAAAGCACGAAATCAGGTCTCACCGTTGCCGGTTCCAGTACTATGGAATAAATGATTTTAATTCGTGCGTACTGGTGTGACAGTACCATCTGACCTAAGAGACAATACCATCAGGCCTGAGAGACAATACACCTGGCCTGAGACACAATACATCTTGCCTGTAAATACAGTTCGAAGCGTTTTCGAGGTACTTTTACACATTTGTTAATGATAAATATTAGTTTATTTTTTACCTCACATGACGTAGATTATGTTATTTTGATCCAGGTCTCCAGTTGCAGTATTCAGGAAAGAGTTGCACCAAATTAAGTATGAAACGTTGAAGACGTAGGATTCAGTCTTCGTTCAAGACCTACATATCAAAGGTAGCATTATTGGCTCTCGGTCCTTTGTATATCAGGGCAAAATTTCCCTTTAGAGATACGCCCAGTGTGACTGGGTCATCACCTCCGCTCTCCCTCCCCATCACTTCAGTTGTCAACAACTCTTCCACTGCTTCTGGCACACTTAACATGTTGATGAGATTCAGTCTACCCCCGTAACCTGTTTCAAACTATACTATACGCCAGCTACTCTCCTTCCTGCCATCAATACGTGGGTTAAACTCTACACTTGTGAACTTCACTTCTTCGTACATGTATAATATAATGTGCATAGACACCACCCATATTTCTCCTCCGAAATATTCGAAATCTAAAACATAATTTACGAGTTTAAATCGTCCCTTTAATTTAGTATAAACAGTAAAGAAACCCGTCCTTATATTATAGATGTAATCACTCTCCACTATAATTACGCTTCTCTCTTCCAATAATTAATCTTTGTGGTACTTCGTGATGACGTGTCAAGAAAGTATTCGGGAACGCTCTGTGTAGGACACAATAACCATATCTTATATAGACTCTTGTCAATGTTGCTATAGTATGCGGTCTACCGAGCTGGAGTTGTGTCTCCCATGATATTTTCACTGTAGCATCCATTAACCTAACCGCGGTTAGGTTAGGTTAATATATATTCATTAAGTTAGGTTCGGTTAGGTTGGATTAATAGTAACACCCACTTGTCCATGTTACTCTTTATCGTGATGTTTGTAACGTAAACACATTAGAGGCTTCGTTTAGTTTTTACCAGTGTTAGATTTAGGCGCAAGATAGGTAAACATCTTCAACAACTCGACCACGCTGGGTAGCTTCAAATATAGATAATATAGATTGGACGGATATATGAGCGATAGGGGTGGGTGTAAACGGGACTGCCCAGTATGGGCCAATAGGCCCGCTGCAGTTTCCTCCATTCTTACGTTCTTATGTTAATAAGCAAGTCATTTTTTTTTATTGTATCCCCTCTGATTTCTCAACTTTCTATTGATAGTAAGAACCAAATTCCTCCAATCTGTTTATAGTCATAATTTTACACTAAATTTAATTACTTTGCGCATTTCAATATCCAGCATTATCCTTCCAAATCCTAAGAATAATTCTCATAATTCTGTCATGATAAAAAAAATGAGGCAAGTGCCTTTTCACAACAAAGTTTCTCTCGGTCTTATGAAAGTTACTGTAACATGTGTTTTCCCTGCTAGCTACCCACTGCTACATCCCAAGACTTGCCAGTATTAACTTTGTGCCCTAATTTGATATCGCTCACAGTTGTAATCTGAGCTCGCTCGAGGAAAGGTCACGGCTAATTAGCTCCCGGGGATTACCAGACAGAGTATCATGTCAAGTGCTAGCTGGGAACAGCTGTGTGCCTCTCTGACGGCTGACCTTGAGAAAGTTAAGGGCGAAAATTTGTTGTAGAAGGAAGTGATTGCTAGAGTGAAGGAAGATGATGCGAGATGAGGAGAGTCTGTGAAGGCAACGACACAGACCAGTGGAAGGTAATGAAGAAAGGGGCGACAAGGCGGGTGGTGGAAAAGGCCAATAAAGCAGCTAAGTGTACAAACTATTTTAGTCCTTTGGAGAAGGACAGTTATTGCAAGTTAATATCGGTCCCATTCATTGACAACTGGGACCACTTTTAAGGCATAAGGGACTGTATGCAAGGGATGGGATGCAGTTATCTAAGGACGGGGTGGCAACCCTGGCTGGAACCCTGGCTGGATCTCTCGAGAGGGCAAATGTCTTTCAACTGCTAGGGGAACATAAGAGTACGGAGGTCGAGGAGGCTGCAGTGTGCACGGGAATACATAACGAAAGGTTACATAGGAATCGTGCAAGGAATGGCGATAAAGCTAAAATTAGTCAGAGAAATAAAACCAAAATGCAACTCAGATCACGATTAACTTAAATGTCTACTACGCGAACAGTTAAAGTATGAGAAATAAAATGGATGAAACCATTGATATGTACTGAAAAAAATCGATGTAATAGCATTTACCGAAAAATGGATTAACTTAGACTCACGTGGGTTACCTGTTGAATACCAAATTAAAGGTTATAAATTACTTCATACTGATAGGAAGATTAGGAAAGAAGGTGGGGTAGCAGTCTATGTCAGGGATAATTTGATGTGTGGAATCAACAAAGGAAATTAAAACTGAAGTGAATATAGAAACAATTTGGATAGAATAACCGATGGTAGGGAAAAATTAATCATAGGAGTAATATATAAACCTCCTTATCTTGATAAAGTTAATGAGCAACTTATTTGGGATAGAATATAAGGAGGGCATCCAGAGACAGCAAACTCTGTATAGAAGGCGACTTTAACTTTATTCAAATAGATTGGACTGATTTTATTGATAACTCAAAATGAGAAGATTTTCTTGAAACAGTTCAGGACTATATCCTAAGTCAACTTACCGCCGAACCCACCCGGGGAAATAATATACTAGATTTAGTTCTGTCAAACAGAGAAAACCTCATTAGTAATGTCGATGTAGGGAACGAACTAGCTAACCGCAATCACAAAAAAGTGATATTCAAAATAGGACTTTGTGTCAGTCACAAGGAAAATTCCATTAAAGTCCCAGATTTCCGAAGGACAAACTTTAATGGGTTGAAAAGACAGATGAGAGAAGGAGTGTTTCGTTTGGCGGTGAACTACATGACCTCGCGAGAGAGTGTAAATAACGGGACATAACTCAATGTGCCCACAGAGGATGATATCACTCTACCAGGTGACCTGGTATGGGGTTGACAAGTACCGTATCAATTTAAATAATGAGTTACTTAATGCACAAAGGCAGATTATATCATACAGAAAACTCAAATCAAGTAACAATGACCTCAAATGGATAAATAATTATTTAAAGAATATTATTGGGCAAATAAAGGCTATAGGTACGAGAATCAATCGTGAAACAAGTCACCAAACATCATCATTAGCTCGAATACGTTGGATAGCTTCCAATATAGGCTGGACGGATATATGAGCTATAGGGGTTGGGTGTAGACCGGCCAATAGGCCCGTTGCAGTTTCCTCCATTCTTATGTTTTTATTTTTATAAAGTATTGACCAGTAGGGTCAAGACCGATATGAAAAAAGCAAGGAGGAAGAATGAAGTAAAAGTAGCATGAGAAGTGAAGACAAACCCTTAGGGATTTTTCCAAAGGGGGTACTATAGTATGCGGTCCACCGAGCTGGAAGCGGTCTACCGGGATATTTACATTGTAGCGTTTATTAACCCAACCTAACCTAACTTAATATAATATATCTTAACCTAACCTAATATATCTTAACATAACCTAACATAACCTAACTTAATCTAATATATCTTAACCTAACCTAACCTAACTTAATCTAACATATCTTAACCTAAGCTAACCTAACTTAATCTATCTTAACCTCACCTAACTTAACCTAGGTTAGGTTAATGGAAGCTACAGTGTAAATACCCCGGTAGACACAACTCTAGCTCGGTAGACCACATACTAAAGTAGCACCAGCTCGGTAGACCCACAACGGGCCCTGGGGGGCGAAAAAATAGGAGTAATTTTTTAAATTTAAATAAGAGAAAAAGACAATCTACACCACGAAGATGCCGGAATCCCAGCCTTTTAAAGTGCGACAGATTGTATGAGGATGGAAACAGAGAAACGGGCAGAGCATTCCACAGTTTGGCTCTGTGAGGAAAGAAGGATGTACTATAACGGGTTATTCTAGTGTGACCGACATCCACAGAGAAAAGGTGGGCACCGCGGGCAAGACGTGTGTTACGAACCCACGGCCTTGCCGGCGGTACACAGGATGCCAAATCCACCGAACATGGATCGTTAAAGTATCTATAAGAGAGAGAGAGAGAGAGTGAAGCAACATTGCGGCGAAGAGAAAGGGAAGAGCGATTTTCAACTAAAGGAGGAGAGTTAACAATACGAAATGCCTTTGATTCCACCCTATCTAACAGTTGGACAGATGAAGAACCACCCCAGATATGAGAGCAGTACTCCAAATTAGGACGAATGAATCCCTTATATACTTAAAGCAACTGTTCAGGATTGAAGTAGCTACGGCATATGTATAGCATTCCCAGCTTTCGGGAAGCAGCTTTAGCAATGTCGAGGATGTGTGGCTTCTATGACATATAAGAGGTAATGGTGAGGCCTTGCATGTCTTCCTAAGCGATGCATGATTTTTTTCATAATGATTATTTCACACATATCATTCCATCTCCTTCCACCGTCTCTACATCCTTTTCATTATAAAAAAGAATATATCTGCTTGTTTCCCAACTAAACTGAATTTCTAATTGATGACAATCGTTTTATCTTCAGCTCGAAGTTCAAAAGATTATTATTTTTTTCTAATATAAACGAACTGTCAGATGTTTCTATAGAAAGCAAAGAAGACGTCCAAGAATATCAGTGTCACTTCCTGCCACGTGTAAATGAGTCAATTGACGAATCTGTTTATTAAATATACGGTATGTTTTTGTGGTCCCAAAAAATTTCCTGTTCATAATGATCGCTTTGTCTGTTTGGTTGTGTATTATTTCGTGTCCGGCCCATAACTTCTTAACCAGTTAAGGAAATCATATGATTTATTTTTACAAGTCTGTCTTCAAAGAATGATGTGTAGTTTACAATCTTCACGACGGTGTGCCACAGGTCGAGGAAAAAGTGGTCTCACCCGTGACCGACCCCCTGTTCCGGAAACATCAGAAGGTTACCTTGACTTTTTAAATATAATTTTATGTGGGTAAGAAGAAAGTTAAAAACCGGAATGATTTAGTGTATAAATATTGGTCCAGCGTGTCTGCTGTCCAATGACCCCAGGCACTGGCGGGAGAATGTGACAAGACAAGACCCCTATCATCACACTTCACATGTTCAGGCATAAAGTATAATAAACGATTGCATTCAATGATACGGTTGACTAAAATGTGACATATTTTTTTTCCACAGAATGTTGCGAGTGTGTGTAGTGTTGGCGTTGCTGGTGGTGATGGTGATGGGACAGGGACGGGAGCTCATCAGACCTGATCCAAAAGCTTGCAAAAACCGTATTAAGCACGCTGCCACCTTCAGGAACGGCCACTATTACTTCTTCTCGTGGCTCCACGGACCCACGCAGAAGCACGAGCGTGATTGGCTGGACGCCAGGAACATCTGCAGGTATGTCAACAACTCACCTTGGCAACGGTCATCACCCAACTCTTTAACCAAAAAATCTTATGAAAGGGCGATTGCAGAACATAAAATGATGTCAATAAATGATACGATAACTTATATCACAGAGTAAAATAGATTAAAATTTAGTACAATGAATGACATACTCAGATAATGAATGTGTTGCATTATTACCTAAGTATAACGACTTCAATGATGTAACAAGATTGTTTTATCCTGCTAACACAAACGACAAAAGGAATAAACACAAACCTTGTAGTTGTAATTTCATTACTGCGCTTCAACAACGAAGATCTTTGAAGAAATTACATTTCCTGGAGTCATCGGTCGTTATAGCAATTAAATGCAATACATTTCCCTAAACCGCCATTGATATGGACTACAATTAGTGATTTGTTTGCTATGAAAGTCCTCGCAATAATCATTGGAATAACATACAATAGAAAATAATCCAAATCCTTTGGCAATGACACCTGGAAATACAACATTCTTCTCTGCTTAAGGTTCTGAGTAATGTTATCTTTAAAATAGAGATGTGATCCTACAGCTTACTGTATAATGCAGTAATACTTTCCTAGTCTGCTTGGCTAATACAGTGAATTTTAAAGTAAAAATATTATATTCACAGTGGAATCTAGCATGTAGAGTGTAGTGCCTTAACTCTTCTTATCCAGTAATATATTATTAGAAAGGTTACGTAATCTTAGATGATAATAATATGGTTTAAATTGTCTCCACCAGGAAACATTGTCAGGATTTGGTAAGCATAGAGACCCAGGAAGAAAACACCTTCGTGAAAAATGCACTTGGAGAAGGAAACGTCAAGTACATCTGGACCTCTGGTCGTAAATGCAACTTTGACGGGTGCGACAGACCAGACCTCAAGCCTACAATCATCAACGGCTGGTTCTGGTCCGGCTCCAATGGCCGCATCCCCCCCACCAACTCCACCTTCGGCTGGAATGGCGACTGGTCTCGCACTGGAGGTGGTAACCAGCCTCAGCCAGATAACCGTGAGTTTGGGGAAAACGGAACTGATGAGGCCTGCATTGCCATCCTGAACAACTTCTACAACGATGGAATTGTATGGCACGACGTAGCATGCCACCACGTCAAGCCTTGGATATGCGAGGACTCCGAAGAGCTCCTCGGATTTGCCCGTTCCTTAGACCGTAGCATTCCCTGAAGTGGCTTTTTCAGTAAAAGTTGCCTTCCCTGTTTCTTCCTTGCTGCTGTAAACTAATACATGCATATATACACATACACTGTCATATGTATACACATGCACTCTGCACTCAGAAGGATAATAAACATATCAGTTATTAGGTCTGTACTACAAGGCGACTGCAGATACACTCACGCCAGCAATCACCATTATGTAAGTCTCCTCTTCCTACAGTACTTTATATTTCCTTATTATTTAATCTTGTTAAAGATCATATTTAAATGGATGATTGATCTAAAAAGCAATAATCGGCTGGACCCGGTTCAACCTCTGTGGTGTACATAGGACTTTTAAATTAATAATTTTGACCTGTCTGTATGTCTGAATAAACCATTTATTTATAAAAAAATCATATCCATTCATATCACTTCTATTTTTCGCAATAAAAATATTAAATATTGCGCTAAACACAAAGATATTACTTTGTTCAATGACGCGAATTCTAAGATATATCCACATTTCCCAAGGGTAAGTGAACGTATTGGAATCGTTTCTTGATTTTATGGATTCGAAAAGCAAAACAACTGTTTCTTTAACAGAAGAAGCCATTTGCAAGCTTCATTATGAGACCTTAATGCTAGGGGATTCATGCTGTTGCTTCGGGACAATCGAGAAACGGTACGAGTTTTGCTCTGTTTCAACTCAAGGTGGGACGTCTTCCAGCAATTTGTCCAAGGGAAGACGGTTAAAGGAGTTTGTGAGACAAGATGGAGCTCCAAGTGTGATGCTGTTGATGCGGCTTGGCTTCATCAATATGAAATATTTGAAACTCTGGAACATCTTGTGATAGTATAACACCGAGACACAGGGCACACGAATAAATACAACTACTATTACTGTATATATGCTAAACAATATAATGGCCTTCAGTTTCTCGGCATAATTATTCCTTTAGTAGCCAGTGCTAACAGAGACTGATGACACCCAAAACATTATCTAGTTAGCTAAGGTGTCTCGGCTCTTAAGATGGCATTACTCTGTAAAGGAAGCACATACCAAGGCCATCGACTTTTGCTAGTAAATGAGAGTGTCCACAGACAGGAGGACATGGAGGAAGAAAAGAATGCTAGGAGAAGCTTCTCAAATTGAAATTAATTAAAAATTACCTCAGGTCCATAATGAGTCAGGCTACACTCAATGAGTAGAGTTCATTTGGAGAAATGGTTAGGTGGTAGCAAAGAAAACACTAATGATCAAATATCTTGCCATTTTTCCCACTGAGCGGTATATTGCCAAATCATTAGAATTTGATGTTATGGTAAACGAGTTTTCCTCACTGGTGGTTAATGAAAAAATTTTGAATAAATTATTTGTAACAATAAGTTCTCAGAAAGAGTTAATACTTTTGGAAAACAAGATCAAAAGTGTAGGACAGCGATTCAAAATGCTTGATATAATTTGTTCTCGATGTTATCTGTTTTTAATGGATTTTGTCGCCCCTTTTTCGTTAACAAACTACGTTTCGTGTTGATAAAGATGTAGGAAATTAAATTGTAAAGGCTGAGATAAAACAAATACTTAATGTCATTTGTAATTAAGGCAGCTCATGTCCTGTATTTTATCCATGCCAGATTTTTTGCTTTGCGACATTTCTGGTCCAGTGGCCATCCAATTTATTAAAATTGCTATTGAATAAATAAATTTTAGTACAGTACTGTACCCAGAACCCACAAGCCAAATTACTGGGGAAGGTGTCTAACACCCCCTCTCTCTCCAATATCCCCTTCATGCCCCGAGCAACACTTTGTCTTACTACGGCACTGCTGGTGTCTGCGGTCAAGTGAAAAACACTTTCTAATTTACAGCTATAACAGACTAAACAAGTTACCTGACCACATCAAAACCAGCAATGGATCAAATAATTCAAAGCTCAAACTAAAAAATACGTAAGATATGAAGCTACAGCTAGAGAAGAGAGCGAGTTCTACAGTATATTACTAAACACTGAACGCTGTGCCGTTGAAGTGATCTACCAGCTAATGAGGGTCTGTGAAATACCTAACTCGGTCGTCTTGATAGATTATCAAAATTCTGGTAGTAAAATCCGTAGATTTTCACAGTACTTTTTTTTTTACAATTTGCCACGCGAGGTGATGGTCTGGAATGTGAAGTCTATAACGGACGGGCGGGCGGGCGGGCGGACGGACGGGCGGACGGAATGACAGACAGGAAGACGGATGGCTTGGCGGACGGTCGGACACCATCACTGCTATATTAAACCCGTACTGTACAGTATATCCCCAAATTTTCTGTCCGGGAGGAATACGGAGAGAAAGAAATTAAACGCCGGTCATCTAGGAACTTTCTATCTTCATAATACTTAGAATAACGTGGCATCCCTAAGAATTACATCGAAAACTACTTTCATGTTCTTGAAACACGACGAGGTGGTATGCTCTTGAGGTGTGAGGACGTTCCTGAGGCATGAGTGTGAGGACGCTCCCACACATCTAAAACGGGAGGAGAGACCCAACTTGCCGAAGACTCTGATCTCTGATGACGAGCTGCGACGGTCAACACTGAAAATTTCAAGATGAAATGGTTCTCTGCCAAAAAGACCTTAATCTTAATTGCCCATGAGGCATTACGGTCCTGAGCATTACTACGGTTAGAGCCCCTTAAAATGGGTTGGAATTCAATATTAGTGATCTTCATCCCCAATGGTTAGGTTAGGTTGTTACCAATTAGGGCTGAGACCTGTTTGACGAAACATCAGCTGATAGCGGGGGATCTGATGCCTCCAAAACACGAAGCAGATTAGGTAACAGCCCGTAAAGCAGGACAATGAAACCATGACAGCATGGTGAGGGTAATTTCATCTCAGTGTAGAAGGAAATTTCTAGGAGAGATACGGATGCCTCTTAAACAGCTGAGTGTGATCACTGTACCCACTTGACTGGAAAAGGTGAGGCTCTGACGGGAAGAAGGTGGGAGGTGGAGGACTCGTGGATCTGAGAGAAGGTTATATCATCCCCACAGAGACAGATGAAGATGCTGATAAACTACTTAAGTCTAGTGCCACGGACAAAGTGAAAACCAACGGATAAAAACAAACGAAGAGATTGAGTACTCTAAACAAGGCAGGTTGCTCGGCCTCATCATCTCTCGGACTGGCATCATTCTAAAGAATGCCAAAATCGCCGCAGCCAAATTAAAACGTTTTAAACTGATGCCTGAGAAGATACAAGTCCACCTGTACAAGGCGCTGGTGAGGCCTGTGTTGGAGTACCCACATATACCACTCGTCACGCTCGGGAAGACCACACTACAACAACTACAGAGCTTCCAAAACAAGTGTCTGAGGTCAGCCAGTGGCCAAGCGCCACCCTACCAGGACACAGTGGAAACCATCCACCTGAGAAATAAAACGGAGGCCCTCAACGTTAGGTTCCATCGCCTTGGGAAGAAGGTTTGGAATAAGCCCCTGAACGACCCTCACAGCCCAGACCACCTACGCGGGGAAGACATCAACGGAGGGCGACCCCACGCCTGGTGGCCCCGGAGTCTGCCCGCACTACAACAACCCAACCCGCGACCCATCTGCATGTATATCCACCACAACGATCCACCTTAGATTAAAACTTAGATGATATAAGATCACATTTAACAAGTCATAATCTAGTGAGTCCATAACGCAATACAGTAATAAGACATTGTAAAACTTCATCCTAAATCCTAGGTTAGCTTAGTTAGCCAACAAACTCTGTAATATTTAAAACAAGGGGTGTCGTCCCCCTCTGTTTAACTCATTAAACTTCCTTTCCAACCTTTCCCCCCACAACTATCTGTCGTGACTTCTCCATCCCTCATGTCTGGCTGTGCCTTGAGCCCCAGCATGCCTTCCATCCTTTCCCCACCTTAACTTAAGAATCATAGACGGCGTGAGGGAGGGGGAGACTTTACTATAGACAGCGACGGGATCACAGGCGACCACAAAGACACTGGGGGGGACACCGACGTCCTCAAAGATGGGAGGAGAAAAGAGTAACGTTCCTTTAAAACTGTTGTGGGATGAGAACGACTCCAGACTTAGCTGACGAATAAAACGATAATCATTGAACATGATAACTTGAACGTACCTGAGATGTGGTGTGTTAATGTCCCACGAAGAGCTGTTGTAACTCACACTCACCTGGATAAAGAAAAGAAGAAAAAAAGTTGAGATGACCTGCCGTCTACCCCCCCACACACACACTTATATGATTAGTCTCACAATTTACAGGAACAATTAAGACAGAACCAATGATCTTAAGCCAAATGAATGACCAAGAGATTTATTCATTGTGTCAATAATACAACAGTAGTATTATTAGTAGTGTAGTTACCTTGTGCTGGTGGTCTTGACACTTTTATGACACCTCGTGACACTTGCACTTGACACCTTGCTGCTTAGGACACTTCATGACTCCTCTGATACTTATAACATTTTTTCATTGTGCATCACATCTTACGACATTATACGAAACATTCAACTTTATGGCACTTTATCAGACTTACTGCCACTTAAAAGTACTTTATAAAACTTTTGGATATTACGTAAATCATTGTGACATAACGTGTCACTTTATGGCACTTTTTTTTTCTTTTTTTATTGGGCACTCCCCTACATCCTTGTGTAAGGTGAAGAGCAGAAGCGTTTACAGCGCCCAACAGGGAAGCATGCTAAGTTCATGCTTGCCTTTATGTCTCATGAGTCAAGGGCGTAGAAGCCTGAAGAGTCAGTGGTTTATGTCATCAAATTATTGGAAGCTCCAACAACTTGTCCCTGAATACGAATTCGCAACTTTCGACTTACAACAGGTACCTACTTTACTGCTAGGTGAACAGGGACGAATGGGGGCTAGGAAGTAAGTCCAAACAACTTCCACCGACCCGGGAATCGAACCCGTAACATCTCGCTTGCGAGGCAAGAACGTTACCGCTTCTACCACCGGTCCCCCCTTTATGGCACTCTAACACCTTATGCCACTTAATGACACTTTATACCACTCTTATGACAAATGTGGGTGTTTTGGGCACCCACAATTATTTTGTGACACTTATGAGTCTTCCTAACACAAATACTTCACATCACTTTGACTTCATAACACAAACACTTTACAAAGCTTATAAACACTTTACTTTACTTACGAACAAGTTATATTACATGTGATCACTACACAATACTTATGACAATTTATGGCACTTATATTTTTTTTTATTTAAGACCACTTTGAGACACTTATACTACTTTACGACACTTTTAAACATGTTGTGATACTTTCAAACACTCCACGTCACTTTCCTACATTGACAAACACCTCAAGATACTTTGCAGTTCTAGTCAATTTCAGCCTCTTCGCCTCACCG